GGGGGTGTCCAAGTTTTCTTAGAGTGTATCAGCTTGCAAGACCAAATTAGAGCAAAACATGTGTTTGAATGAGCACTCGAGTTGAAAAGTAGAAATACTAATCTAATCACCTGTATTCTGATTAAACTGATGTTGAAAAAATTGTCATTCCCAGTAGAGCCGTTTCAAACACTGTAAACACTGCTTCGAAAACATGGAGAAGATGAAACTTCAATAGGAAAGATAATGACAAACACGAAGAAACTTCGCAGAGCATTAGCTCATTGCTTTTCGGAGACTAAATCTCTCCATGAAGGGTTTATTCTCTGCCGCTCCATGGCACTGGCCGGGAACTGCCAGCAGAAGGGACAGGCCGCACACCCGCGGGAGGGGGGCGCACACGGAGGTTACTGAGCTTTCCGTGCCAGGAATGGAGGGGCCTGTGAAGGCATCGGCGGCTGGCAGGAAAAATCCCTCCTTCCCCCCCTGCGCTCAGAAACCAGGCCGGAGCCCTGGGGGCGAGCGGCGGGCAGCGGCCTCCCCTCGAGCTGCTTTGGCGCAACTGCAAGTCCTCGGTTCTCCCTGAGCCGGTTTTGTGTTCAGTTCCGTGGTGCCACTGCAGGGGGGGTTAAAAAAAAAAAAAAAAAAAATATTGGGGAGCTGGATCGTTGTGTCCCGTCTTGATTTCTAGCGGGCAGGCAGGTTTTAAAACCGACACAGAACATGCCTGCCCCTTGTGTAGTGCCACACTAGACCACGGATCAGCTGCTCCTTCTTTCTTGCTGCGTAATTCCCCATAACTTGTAACACTACAAAATGCACTTAGTTCCACAATTGGTTAAATGCTTATCATCCACATCAGTTTTTTAGTTTATGCTTTCATACTTTTTCTCAAAGCAAAAAATAAACCCTGCTAATACTGTTGGTCATATTGGCCAACACGTCAAAAATTTCTGGATATAATAAGCAAATGCAGATTTTATATATTAACCTGGCTATAGTAATGTCCTAGCTAAGAATACCATTTCTGTGATCAAATGTTTAAAACAAGGACTTTCTACACAGTAATTATCTACACTGAGATTTTGGGCATATTTGCATTCAGAATGTACTTGATTGCTAGTAAAAATAAAGCCAAAGTCTACTGGTAAGAGTTTTTAGGAATTTCTATCAGACGGTGTTACATCTGAGTCCCAGACTGCCATTCTCTAAGGTAGAAGGGTCAAACCCTAATATATTAATGCATGAGCAAATTAAACAGGAATGAGTCTTCATTTTTGCTCAGCAATATCTTAAGTAAAACATGAAAACATAATGCTTGCAAGACAACTGCAGCCTCCTTTTTTAGCGCACCAACAGTTTTTGCAAAGCAGACTGTTAACCACCATCATGAGAAGTCTGTGGTTTGTTGGGTTTTGGTTTTTTGGTTTTTTGTTTTTTTTTTTTTAAGGCACTGCTCTCAAGTGTTGCAACACTTACCTGCCTCAGTTGAAAAACAAGTTAGCAAGTTATACCCCTTCTCAGCTGAATCATGGAAGCTGATGATGCAATGTAAAATGAATTACCTTAAGCCACTTTTGTGGTTAAGATTTACCACGTTATCTTGCATTAGACACATGGTAACATGCATATGCTCACTACCATCTCTTCTACAAAGCATCTGGTCTTTTAAATACAATACCATCACCAGAAGCACCTGGATAATACTTTTGTCTTTTCAGAGGTAATGTACATACCTAGGGGTTGGACACAGGACAACATCACTACCGTTAAAGTACAGCTACTTAACAGCTGTTCTCTATTAATGGCAAATAGGTCATTAGTCAGCAGCAAACAAGGGATAAAAACAAGTTTTCACTGGGGTCTTATGCTAATGTACTTTACCTTTCTGTTTCCAAGGAAATAAAACTACATGCTGTAGTTCATTCAGTAACTACATTCAGCTGCTGTGCTGAATACACAAAAATTTGAGTAGCTCAATAGCATAGCTGAGCCCTCAAGAATTTATGTCCTAATGATTTGAATGGTATTCGCACTCATCGGTCACATCAAAAAGTTACAGAACTATGCTACGGTGCAGTAAAATGACTATAGTGGCCAGGCTTTCACGGCTTCAAGTTTTTTAGAAGCCTCTGGGGAAGCATGGACACGTGTTGAGCTAGCTAGCCCATGCTGACCTCTGAGTTACTATTTGAGTACTGTTGTACTCAGTCCAGCTGGATTAAAGCTAACTAGTGATACGCCTCGCGAGCATAGCACAGCCTCAGGCTCCGAGACCTTTAGGGAGAATGTCCTCACTTGCAAATGAACCAGCTATTTTTGGATTGTACAAAATGGATGTTATTGGTACCTGCAGGAATAAAATGCTGGTTTGAAACAGCACCTGTCCTCAGCAAAGAGATGGCCAGCGATGGTTTCCACAGACGTTCCTAAAATGCTGCGCTGCTCAAACCATTTTCCAAAGGTGCATCAAACCGTCCGGGGAAGAGGAGAGAGCACGCACATGGAAGAGTGACAGTAGCTGGGGGAGAGGAGGAAAACAGGCAGCTATTACATAACAGAGAGCTGGTTTTCGCTTCCAGAGGCAGCTGGTCTCTCCTTTTCCCTGCATGTTTTGCCCCCCTCTCGCACAGCCCCGCCGGGGCAGGGAAGGAGGCGGGCTGTGTGTGGGGGTGCTGCGGCTCTGAGGTACCGCGGCTCAGGCAGCTGACACGTACTAGCTCAGGTTCAGAAAAACACAGCGCAGTCTAAACAAGGCAGCGTGCGGAAAGGCGGGCACGGTGTTTTACCCCCGAGACGGTGTAAGGAGAGCGCAAGGCGCTGGGGCTGCCCGCCCTGGAGCAGTGCCCTGCTGCCCCTCCGTCCTGCCGCGCCCGCCCCGCCCTTCCCGGCCGCCATGTTGCCGGGCCTGCGCAGCGCCGCGCACCGCCAGGCGCGTGCAGCCGGTGCCCCC